CCCTATGTCAGATAATATTGCCCCGCCGTCGAGGAAGGCGATGACCAGGCATATGTAACACGTGTCCTAACCATCTCAGTCGATGTAGCTTCACAGCCTCGTCGATTGATTTCCCCTGTTTACCTAGCACTCGATCGGTGTCTAACTTCGGTATTGCTCACCTTATTATACCATTTCACACGGAAGATAGAGCGCAGGCATCCATGATCAAAGACAGCTAATCAGGCTTTTGAATACAATCCAAAGTGGGAAATGGTGATGAATTGAACATCCGCCTACAATGGAGAGAAGATTAGGTGAGTTGATGTCAAAGATGTGCTGCAAATGATCTCTACATACTACTAGAAACGCAAGAAATAAGTAGTATCAGATAGCAGTAGAATCTGACGCACACTTTTCATCCATTTTGAGGTGAGTTCATTAGATGTTAAAATAAAATAACGATAACGATAGTAATAATAATAATAATAATAATAATAATAGGTGGACAAAGTAAACCAGAATTGCTTGAATTCTCCTTCTTTTAGTGGGAAAATTACAAGGTGTACTTTTAAAACTGTTTTCTGAAAAAAGAAATGAACACACACACACACAAAGAAACAAACAACATAAGTGTACTTTCCCAATCATTTTTCTGTGTTTTCTTTCAGATTAGATAAAAGTGACCGGTATAAAATGAGAACAGAAATAATTTATTCTCATGTGATAGAAGGAGGTAGAGAGAAAGAGAGAGAGAAAGCGAGAAATGGACGCAGAAAGCTAAAAAAAAGAATTGATTCACCTCGCCTAATGGTATTAGATACATATGAAGATTATAAAAATCATTGGGTATGGAAATAAAACTACTAACCCTCTCTTAAAATAATAATAATAATAATGGTCTTGCTAAAGAAGAAGCATATTTTATGACCAGTTTATTTCTCTGTCACTGATTATTGTTCCTCCTCAGTGTTAAAGGATGTTCTGAAATATCTAAGGGGCTAAAGTCTGGCGGAACTGACGAGGATATCAAAACCAGAATCGGAAAATCCAGACAGGCTTTCGTTACTCTCAAGTCTGTGTGGAAGTCAACAGTATTACTCAGCATCAAAAGTAACATCCGGATTTTCAACTCCAATGTGAAGTCAGTCAGTGCTACTCACTATACGGATCAGAGACTTGGCGCGTCATGAAGAACACCTCAAACAAACTTCAAACCTTCATTAACAGTTGTCTTCGTTCAATACTTCGCTCAAGATCAGATAGCCGGCCAGAAAAGATCAGAAACAGGTATCTCTGGCAGTGAGCGAACCAACTCAACAGGAACCGATTGTGAAACAAACAGTCAGGAAGAAATGGAGATGGATTGGCCGGTCATACTCTGAGGAAACCATCATGTGAGTGACATCACTAGACAAGCCATTGCTCCAGTGGAACCCGAAAGGAAAGTGGCGAGTTGGTCGTCAATGCGAGGGTGGGGTGACTTGGAGGAGGTCATGTGAGGAGGAGATGAAAGCATGTGGACAGACTTGGAGCGGGATGAAAAAAGTTGGCAGAAAACAGAATGCTATGGAGATGCGCAGCTGAAGCCCCATGTTCCTCTAGGAATTAAAGGATATAATAATAATATCTTCCATATTTCTGGTATTTGCATTGAGTCATTCCTCTTCTATGTGTTAGGTGTAGACTCGATGAATCGGGATTCAGTAGTCAATCTCTCTCTCCACCTACATAGATTACTTCTTAAAATCTTAGCCCTCTCCCACCCTTTTGTGTGGTTGTGCGTGAAGTGCAATCTCTGAGCTTTTTTCCAAGTAACTTATCAACCATTCTTACCTTCGCTAAATTATTATGTTCTGACAGGCAATCCGATTACTCCCGATCTACTAGTTTGACCTAGTTAGTTGACCTTGCTCACAGTCATTGCAAGGTATTTTGTAAATTATATTACTTTGTTTAATTAGGTCAACCTATAGGGTCTTTTAGCCTACAGAGCTTGTCTCTCAGTGAAGGTGCCCTATGTCCCACTTGGAACTTAAACGAATAAAAAACAAATTATTTCAGCTTAACTACTGAAAAGGTCCAAGTATAAAACCTGGGCACTGTCGTAGAGTATAACTCCATCATAGATGAGATTTGATTTTAATTTTGATTCAAATGTCTAGTCATAGATTTTTACTTATGTATATAAATGAAGCAAGAAAGTTGTGTGAGTGACTACTTGATATGACTATGAGTGGAAATAGTCTGTGCTCGAGACGTGGTCATCAGTTAGTATTACTGTGTAACACTGTGTGATTAATCAAAATAAAATCTTATCTTATCTGTACACCAGTCGTATTTATATTACGGAAAAATAAGGCATTAAGTGGGCGCACTAGAAATTGCTTAACCAACTGCACATATGATAAGAACAAAGACAGTTAAAACGATGTACTAAGGTGGGCGTGATAGAGTTGAAGTGGATGAATTACAAAACTTTTAAAGATTATTAAACATGAGTGAAGTGGTATGGAGACTTTAAAATTGTAGAATTGCAGGGCAAGTGTTGTCTTAATTCGAAATTAACAGTACGATGATGATAACAATAGAGACTGTGACAGCGAAGTGAATTGGAATGAATTCAAGTGGTAAAATAGAAATAAAATAAACAAAGATTAATATGACCAAGGTAATCAAATCCAACATTTACAGATCAGTATACTAACTTCAACAGTTGGGTACCCTTAGGCAGGAAGAGAAATCTTTTCTGTTCTCTGTGTGCTCCAGAATTGGGAATATTTTCCCTGTAGATACGGTCGACTTAGAATTAGAAAGCCTTCGCACAACTCTCTTCAATAATCGATATGCTAAAAGGTTTATCGACAGAAACTTCAAGAAAGAAACCGTCCCCAGCCAAATCACATTGCCAAAGAAGACACTGTTTATGATTTTAACTTTCAAAGGTGACACTCGCTGAAGTTATTAATATTCGTTTATCTAAATGTATTAAACAGTGTTTTATGCAGCTGACTTGAATTTAGTATTTACCAAGCGAAATATAATTCAACAATGCGTCAAGGTAAAACACTGCTTATGTCCACCTCTATGTGTGCATATACTCATTCATATGCTCCTATGGAGTTGATTACATTTGACGTTGTAAGCGTGTTCGCCGTAAACGCATAGCTGAACACTATGTGATTTGGTAAATGAAAGATGAGTAAAGGACGACAAAGTCTTCAATATTTGAACACCTTCCAGAGTTAAGTCATTCAGCCCCACTAAGAATAAAGATAATTAAAGTGATGTACTAGCGTGTGTGAATCAAGAGGAGATGAAAGCATATGGCCAGACTTGGAGCCTGGTGAAAACTCTGGCAGAGAACCCAACACAATGGAGACGCGTGGCTGAAGCCCTATGTTCCTCTAGGAATTAAAGGAAATAATGATAATAATATAATACTAAGGTGGGTGCGGTAGAGTGGATGTGGATGAATTACAAAACTTACATTGAAGATTATTAAACATAAGTGAACTCGTATAAAGATTTTCAGATTGTAGGTCAAGTGTTGTCTAAATAAAAATCAACAGTACGATGATGATAACAATAAAGACGGTGAAGGTGGAAGTGAAGTGGAATTGTGGTGAGAGCAGGCTGCTAGCCAATGTCGCTAATATTGACCGTGAGAAAATATGAACAAGACTGATTCAACAAACAATCACAGCAGACTTAACCTGGGCAAATACGATTCGCAGATATATGGCTTAACTTTCTGAGAAACCATTCACAAGCAGTACAGAATAACCTTGAGCAAGAAACAACCAATCAGAAGATTGTGTTTGTCTGCTTGAATAAGCTATAATAATGTACATGGAATATTTATAAATAAGTACTGATTTTCTTAATAAACGATCGGTTGCCTGGCCCTTGTCTTGTGTTGTTACAGAATGAATTCAAGTGGTAGAATAGAAATAAAATAAACAAACATTACTATGACCAAGGTAAAGAAAGAGCTGCACTGCTGGTCAGCACTTATTAGAATGACATCGAAGCTGGAATGAAACGCATCATCATCCAAGCACTCTTACTAATAACTGAAATAACAACATAAATCAAGCATTTAGATATATATTAGAAAATGATATCATTCTATTTCACAGGTTTTCATCAGCTAACAGAAAACAGAAAAATCTAATAGACAGTGTCAACATGGCAACTCACGAAGGTCAAAGTTCATCAATTTGAAAACTTCCCTAGTGAGCTGAGCTCACTAGTGTGAATGACTAATCAGTGTAATGAAAATCATATAGTTACCATGGGAGTGAGAGATTGACTACACTCTCGTTCTGTATGCATATGTTTGGTCTGTGACGTTTGATTGCAACTGCTTCAGCAGTAAATCGTAGTAGATTCGCTGTCCTTTGTATGTTTAATATTTCGAAGGATTTGGTAATCTCGACAAAAATGACCTGTATCCACAAGGTGTCTGATTTCGATACTTCCAAAACTTCTGCACACAGAAAGAGACTGTGTAGTCAATCTCTCACTCCCTTGGTAACCATATCACTTTCATTACACTGATTAGTCATTCACACTAGTGAGCTCAACTCACTAAGCAAGTTTTCAAATTGATTAACTTTGACCTTCTTGAGTTGCCATGTTGACACTGTCTATTAGATTTTTCTCTTTTCTGTCTTCTCTCACCCCCTTTTTCTTTCTTTTTTCATAGTTTGATAGTATATAAATTGATGGTGACTTAGATTATAATACTTATATTCCAGATGCGTTCAACTTATAATGTCTTCTCTATTACCTTTCATACAATGAAGTATGAAATGTTATTATTTATAACCATTATGATTTCAGATAGTTTGCAGTTAGCTGATGGGGAGAACCTGTGAAATAGATTGACGATACCACATTTTATACTGCAAATCTGGTCTTTCTTTCTCTCTATCAAAATTTATCAAGGGAACCAAATGTATGAAATATTAAAAAAATTACAAACATTGGAATATGTCAAGTTTAAATTCACTTACTAGGTGATTGTAACCCTTGTGAAAATCTGTCTGAATTTCTTTTTTCCACAGGACTTAAATTAACCGCAGCATTGACTGAACCACCACCACCACCAATGGAGGCAGTGTGTTTCAATGGAGTCTCATTTATAAAATTATTATTATTATTATTACTATTATTGATATTATTAAGATATCCATCTTGATTTAAATTCGGATAAAGTGGAGGACGTTTTCCGACATCTGCTGGATCATTTGTATCTCCAGGATACACGGGTGGTTTACTCTGTGATGTAGATTTATACAGAGAGGATGAAGGACGTCGATATTCTGGTAGACCTGTACTTGGAAAATGCACTGCACCACTGATAATACTTGGACGTGGTTGACCAGGTTGTATCATGACATCTGGATCATACATTTTAGTGTGTCTTTGACTCAAGTAGAAATGTCGGAGACGTATACACCAGTATACAACGACAACTGATATATATTGATTGGGAAGAGGAAAGGAGAAAACGGAAAAGAAAAATAGATTAAAAAAAAAATTAAAATATGCATGAAAATGAAGTGAAATGCAATGAGGGAAAAAATTGTGCTGTAACAGGTTTGATGACGACCCAACGTCAGTGCCAGAGGGCTATTGGAAAAACAGGGAATATTAGACAGCCACAGATGTCTCATCCTCGTTGTTTGGGAGACACTTCGGCAGTGTGCATCCGCCACCGGGATTCCAACCCAGTGTCAGATGACAAGCAAGTAGATGATTCAGCCAGTGAGACCTGATCCATTGAGTCATGAATTCCAGTCTCTGCCAGTTGGCTATATATATATGCAGCTCAACCTCCAACCAATGTCACTGGCGAGTTATTGTCCTCTTAGCTGACCAGGTGGACCCTTCTGGCCAAAAAACAGTAGCCAATCAAAGCCGTGTAAACTAAAACTTGAAGATAACATTGTTAACAGTTAGTCAGCGGTGATGGCCAGTAGTAGTAGAATCCTTGCCAACCACACCACACGTGATCTCGGCTGACTTAATCCGGATCTCCTCTTAACCGTTAGAAGGCTCAGTAAAGAAATAAGGATGTATGGAAGGCCAGTTAGCAAAATCAACATCAAAAACGCGACCAAATACCACACCTTCTGAAACTGCAACACCTAAGCCTGGAGCCCTGTAATACACTTGAAATGCAAAGGAATGACAGAATGACAGACTGGATTTGTGGATATTGATACGATTACACAACTAATGCACATATTGTTAACGAGTCATACATGTGTTTATGCAATTATCTGCACATATGATGACAGACATTTATCTTAATTCTGTCAGTCATTCATATCTGTAAAACAATGTTCGCATGTGTGGCAATATATACTACATAGAGGTTAATTAATGGATGGTGACTGGCAGTGGAATCCAAATAAAGCGCATTTCGTCCTATTCAGGACTCGTCAGTTGACTGGATGTACCTGAATTCCACAGTGAGTGATGATGTTCCCACTGAGGCCCAAGTAGTCTGTCATCAAGGCCAACTAAATGGGACCGCGTAAAATAGGATAAAGTGGAGACGTGCAGGTCGGTGAGTGCTGCCGATGATTCCCAAACCAGAATGAAACTTTCTGGTGGCGATCAAAACTTCAGATAAATCGCGAATAATCTCACTGAATTTTTCCGAAAAATAAGAAAAATAGGAAAAGTCGGATAAAACGAGGTGAGAAAATAGAAGAGAAAGAAAGCTCTTATCGATTAAACTTTGGAAAAGGTGATAACATAAAGCGAGAAACAACTGCACCTTTGACAAACTACAGAAATTTTTATCTTACTATTTCAATAAGGATCCAAAATCAATACATTTCAGTTTAAGCGATGCACAAATTAGTTCTAATAAGGGTTGACTATCCTGTTTTTAATCTAAGCCTCTCTTCTCACAGTCAAATATTACCTGTACGCTAAAAAGGTAGTGTATATAGAAGAAGTGATTGTTATCAGTACGGCAAAGAATGAATACTGCTCACATATCACTTTAATGATGATAATAACAAAAATTTCAATGATTAGGTAAGGCGTCAATAAGATACAATTTCTGTGGTGAAAAGATCAATTGCCGTGATCAGATCGCTTGACTTTTTATAAACATGTTAAAAAAAATAAATCTACTATTCCATTTTAGTTTGTTTATTAAATTTACCACACACACACACACACACACACACACACACAGTGAAACTGTATTATTTACTGGATGACAAGGTTTCAAACAAAATGTATTACTGTTCATAGTCATTTCACTAATTATAATCACACGACTCCGTAACTTGAGTTTTATAGTTTTCTTTATTCTCTCCTATTTGTCGTCGAAGTCGTGGTAGTAGAATTTTCGAGATATCCGCCTAGACAGGTGTTGAATCATTCCTATTACACGTATTCCCTGTCAGTTGATTCGATAAACAAAGCTTCCATTGTTATCAATCTCTCCATCCCTCAAACCCTGTTACATTAGATTTCAAAACTGTCATCCCATCATCCTATGATGTATGGTTGTGTGTGATTGCATGTAGTGAGCGGTATATAGCTGAACTATTCTCTAGATTTCTTATCTTATTCGGATCAACTCATCTAGGTTTTGCTAGGTTTTTATGTTCAGCTAGTCTAACTTCCCTGTTCTACTATTTTGACCTATGTATTTGACCTGACAATCATTGCAGGCAGGGTATTAGATAAACTAAATTGTTTTGTTTTAAAGGCTCCACTGGCAGGATCCTTTAACTGACAAAGCTTGTTCCTAATTGAGTTTGTGGGGTGTTTGAATACCAGCCACTTTTATTCCTGCATTGTTAAGAATTCAGTTAAATTAGTCAGAAAGTATGTGGGGAAATGTAAATATAAAATAAATAATGATAGTAGTATTAGTGAAATTAATAATAATATTAATGACGACATGCATATCAAGCATGCGCAAGACAACATCAACAATAAGGAATCTAAATCATCAGTAGTACTTCCTCCCCTACCAAGAAGGAATCTCGGAAACCTTAAGCAGAATTCTTAGCGAGACAGGAATAAAAGTGGTTGGCATTCACATACCCCACAAACTCAATTAGAAATAAGCTTTGTCGGATAAGGGATCCTGTGGAACCAATTAAACAAAACAATTTAGTTTATCTAATACTCTCTCTACCTGCAATGATTGTCAGGTCAAATACATAGGTCACATTTTGATGTGGTTGTGTTCTCTGAGCTGGATGGTTAATTTGCGAAGCTTTCATCACCCTACTGGGTGACATCTTCAGCGCATACTTCAATTTGGAGTGAGCTTTTAGATTTCTCCACGAGTTTATTAATCATCTCTCCTGGTGACCTTGGACATGATTGGTTGTTTATGTGTGTTTTTACATCTTCATGTAAAAACACACATATTATGTAAAACATCATGTAAAACATCAAAAATCATCCACCTGAGCTACAAATCTTCTCTATCATATCTACATAGGTCACAGCAGCACAATGGGATCAGTCAGTCACATTAGTGAAGCACAAAAACCTAGCAAATCTAGATGAGTTGATCCGAATAAGATAAGAAATCTAGAGAATAGTTCAGCTATGCCGCTCACTACATGCAATCACACACAACCATACATCATAGGATGATGGGATGACAGTTTTGAAATCTAATGTAACAGGGTTTGAGGGATGGAGAGATTGATAACAATGGAAGCTTTGTTTATCGAATCAACTGACAGGGAATACGTGTAATAGGAATGATTCAACACCTGTCTAGGCGGATATCTCGAAAATTCTACTACCACGACTTCGACGACAAATAGGAGAGAATAAAGAAAACTATAAAACTCAAGTTACGGAGTCGTGTGATTATAATTAGTGAAATGACTATGAACAGTAATACATTTTGTTTGAAACCTTGTCATCCAGTAAATAATACAGTTTCACTGTGTGTGTGTGTGGTAAATCTAATAAACAAACTAACATGGAATTAATTACTCCACAGTCCCCAAGGTTTAAACATATAATAATGAATCTATCATTACTTTTCAATTAGTAGGTAACTATTGAAAAGAAAATAAACTCCACCACATAGAATAAGAATAACAAAACAAAATGCAGTTAACATTGGTTAAGTTGTTTTAATAGTGGTTTAGCGGTAGAACACTTGTCTGCCATCCACGTGGTCTAGGGTTCGATCTCCGACCAACGTAGTTATTGCAAGTCCATGAAAGACAGAAAGTTCTGCATGAGGCTAGAAACCCCACCATGTGAAGAAAAGTATTGTAACACCATTACTACTTAAGACTTAAAGGCTGAAAGCGTGAAATCCTTTGTTTCTCCCCGGAATGCAAAAGGATAAAGAAAAAAAATAGGAAAGTGCAACTTAGTTTTTTTGTTGTGGAATAAAATTAGTTAGAGTATCATTGAGTGAACAAGAGAAAAGGGTAGCTACATCGTTGCAGCTTCAGTGCCTTTCAATCCTCAAAGCCTTAGAGTAAAAAGTGATCATATTACCATCCCGCTCTCGGACTGGATGAAATCTAATAGCGCATGGATTCTGACTACTCTCCTCCCCCCCAATATGAGTATGGAGACAAATACTCCTCAGGTATGAAGTTGGATGAGGAAGGCACTGCTAAAAAAGAGCATTGAGAGTATAGCGAATGCATAGATCATCGAAATAGTTGAATAGTAAATGTGAACGCCTTAGGTTTGACCAATAGTCGGGTTATGCATGACCGATGCTGAAAACACCCAGATTACAACGATGGCTAAGGCTGTTCTGTTTTCAGAAACTCTTTAACTATTACCCTTGCAGGATGAAGTACTTACTTACTTACTTTACTTCGGCTATCTCCTACGGGAGGATGAGCCGGCTTCATGAACCATGAAGTTTCATGGGAATTGGGTACGAGTGATGTCCCCAGCATCGCTCGGCCGCAGGATGAAGTCTACCGTCAAGATTAATCGATTCTACGCTAATGTATTATTTTTAAAAAAATTATGTGTTTATCAATTTAGATGACTTTAGAAAGATGTATTTCTGAATTAGGTCATAATGCGTGTAATAAATAATATTAAAAATCAGAAAGTGAAGTTATACTTGACAGAGATAATGTCTGCCTGTACTTTTGCATCCAATTTATAATGTCCTATAATAAAAAATCTCTCTAAGAAGACCTACAAGTGACGTCACACACTAGACAGGCCTTTGACTGGAATTCAAATGCAAAATGGCGAGTTAGGTGTTCGAAAGTGACTTGGAGGAGGCCATGTGAAGAGAAGAGGAAACCTTCTTGGCAGCCAACTGATTTATATATCACGAATTGGCTGAAATTGGAATTCACGGACGATTGAGTCGGATCCCTGTGGCTGAATAGTCAACGAGCTCGTTTTGTATCTCGACGATACTGGCTTAAAAACCTTAGTGGCGGCGTGCTAGGGAAGAGTCGCAAATTAGGAAGAAATACCGGGT